CGGGAGACTGGTTGCCTCGCGACGTTGAGTCCGACCTGCGCGGCGTCCCAGAGTCCGGGCCGAGTGCCTTGCGTGCCTGTTCCTGGCGGGCCTGTTCCTCCGCGATTGTCCGATCGATGGCGCCCTTGATCCTCTGCAGTCCCATCCTGTTAGCTGCCTGCAGTCGCGAGGGCACAATGAAAGAACAACGGCTGGGACGTGATTTGGACAAGTAGATCGAAATCAAAAAAAAAGTTTCCGCTGGAGACGCACCTGGAACATGTTTGCCGATCAAAGGGATGGATGGGATTACCCTGTGACCATGGATTCGTTTATTCTGACGGGAGGGTCGTTCGAAAGAGAGCTATGGTCTGTCGACGATGGAAGGGAGCTGCATTATCGGTGGTGGCGGCAAATAGAGGGATCTCGAAGCGCAATAGCCAAGGGCCAGCAGGAGGGAGTAGCTTGGTGATAATGTTCTGGGCCAAGTTGTCGGCGTGCCGTGGCTTGCGAAGGGTATTCAAGGGACAGCAGAGGTCCCTACATACATTTCATTTCACAGGTGTCCTCTGCCAACTGCGCTGTTCCAGGTGCTCCCCCAAAGTTTGAGGCAGGGTCAGCACGGACGGTGGGGACCTCTCACAAGAGGCCGCGTTAGCGTTCAGCCTCGGCACTAGCCACATTTCGTGCAGCAACTCTCCAGCTGCCAGCAGATGCGTCTGCACAGCGACCAAAATAGAAATCAAGATGCGACCACAGCAGCAACCCGGAGACCAGTTGGCGAACCGGCTGTTGAAGTATGTGTCTTCGTGATTCTGCAATTATGTATGAAATGTTGCTGTAGCTAGCTGACGGCGCATTCGCCATAAAATATCCCGCATCCACTTACTTTCCACCCTTGCCCTTGCGCTTCTTGGACCCCGATGCTCCCTGTCTACCCGTGGTCTTTGCGCCAGCTCCATGAACATCGTCATCAGCGTCTTCCTCCTTAATCTCCACGCTCGACACTTCGTCATCAGATGATTTGAACTCTTCGCCGACCGACACGTCACTTGCCGGGGCCCGCGAGCCGAGAACCTCCCTCATAATCCGCTTGCCCTCGTCCATCTCGCCGTTCTTCGCACCGCAGCCCATGCATCTCCAGGTTCCCAGCTCGGAGAGTGACTTCGTGCCGGGAGGCGCCTGGCCGTTGACCAAGCGGCAATGCGCGCAGATGAGTACGATTCTGTTCTTGGACGCCGTTTCGTCCTCTCCGAGGAGAAGATCCATGATGCGATCGTACCAGTGGGACGAATTGACGCCATCAACCTGGACGAATTGTTGCGACTGAGGCGGCGGGGGCGGAACGTGGCCGCCGCTGTAGGCATTGGGGGCGAATTCTTCGCTGGGCTCGAGTCCATTGGGTTGCGGAGATGGGGAGAGGCGTTGCTGCTGGAAACCCTGAGGCATACCCGGAGGAGGCGAGCCAGCGCTGGGACGCTGGATGTTGGCAGTCGGCGGAGGCGGCATGTTGGTACGACCTCCTTCATGCTGCCTAGGAGCTTGCTGACGCTGCTTCTTCTCCTCGGCGTCTCCGCCCTGCTTCTGCTTTTGCTTCTTGTTCTCGCCGCCGCCATATTTCTCGAGGAGTTCGAGGGTGGTGTCGTACTTTGTGGCGTCTTTGAGCTTCTGGATCGTCTTGGCTCGATCGGCTTGCTGTTCCTTGAGGCGGTTGGACAGGGTGTCGATTCGGTAGTTGAAGAAGGCCGTGACGGTGGTTCGGGTGAGGTAGATTCTGTTCATTCGTAGTCAGCTTTCCGCGATGCGCAAACGGAGTCCGCGGGGGGGCACATACACGACCGGACCTCCACAAACGCCAACCCACTCCCACATGCCCATGCCGTTCCATCCCACCACGAGGAAGATGACGATCGAGTAGACGAGGTATGCGAAGGCGAGGTATAGAGACCACAGGACTCTGATGCGGCGAGAGGTGTTGCGCGCGCCGTCAAGTCGGCCCTGGGTGTCGGTGATCTTCGCCGAGAGGGCGGAAAGGGTCTTTTCGAAGGAGGCGGGGGAGGAGTCTTCGCCCTGGAGTCGAGGTCAGTCAGTCTGTCGCAAAAGCCGTTGGTCGCGATGCGGGCCAGCGTATGCTTTGGGGGAGCCGTGGACGTACCCTCCAAGGCCAAAAGGACACCATGGTGAAGAAGAAGAGATGCGACCACGTGCCGATGTCAAAGAGGCATTTCCCCAGCTGTCAAGCCAGCAACAACCAGAAATTGAAACGAAAAGAAACAAATAAGAAGGAGGGAAATGTCAAGGAGATTGATGCGATGCAATGCGCGGGTGTAGAGATCAGACGAGCAGAGCCGTGGGAGGAGGCCCGTGGCAGCAGCAGCGATGTTGTAAAAGGAGCGGGAGGCTGAAGGGAAGCCGGGGGTTGGTAGAGATGGTGGTGCTGGCGGCGGTGGTGGTGGTGACGGCAGGCGCAGGTCACGGCCTGAACGGGACAGGTGGAGGGAGCTTCGTAGCCTTCGCTTGTGGTTCTGGAACGAAAAATGCCTGGCGAACAAGGCGCACCTGCCAGCTGTTATGACGCACCTGCCGACCTAGGCGCAGCAGCTGAACCTGCTCTGTTCGGTGGGAGAAGGTGGGTCAAAGCTTCTGAAAGGCGCTAACCAAGAGCTGCGTTAGCGCATCGGTGAGCTGTTGGCTCGATCTGCCAGCTGCGGGGTGCCACTTTGGCGACCTCACCGACTTCACCTTGAAAACGGAGCTTAGCTCACCGAGCAGATGACATTGAAAAGGCAGATGTCATGAACTGAGCAACTTGGGCAGCGACAATAGATGGTGGTTTCATTCTGAACATGGCAATTGTCTAGAATATACGCTCACATGACATCTTAAACGCCTCTTGGCTATTCACCCCATCCAGCACCCATTCCTTGGTCTCTAAATTGGATTCCACCAGGGGCTGGACCTCGTAAGATTCCTTAACGGGCTTGAAAATGTGTGGTGATTCCTGCTCCATCTTAGCTCCAAGTCCGCATTTTATCAGCAAACCTCTTATCTTCAAGCTCAATCTTGGCATAGACAGCCTTGAGCGCGTCAGCCTTTTCTTTCAGCTGCTTCACGCCGGGACGAGGTTTGTTGTAGTCACCCTGGATTTTCCAGATTTTTTCAAAGACCGCCCAACTCTTCTGTGTCTGCGTGGCTGTATTTCCTATGTATTCAGAAAGACGGCAATAGAAGTAATGGTAATACTAACAGAAATAGCAGTGACAACGATAGTAAGGCGGAGTATGTGACCACAGGAAGATCAGTCGCTTCAGCAGAGGAACATTGGGTATCTTGTGTAATCAATGGTTTGGAGTCAATTTCTTCCAGCGGTTTGGGGGACTTTGGGGCGTTTTCAGAGGTCATTGTGAGTGGTGGGTTCTGGTGCTTGATTGAAAAGGATCCGGTGATTTTAAAGCAGAAACTTATGAATTGCTGGGGGAACACGATAACGAGCAGCGCACTTGGGTTTTTCCTGTTCCATGATATGGCATTGGAGCAATCCATCAGCTTACTTGGCGGCTGTCAAAGACATTGTTCAGCAACAAAGGCTTTGGGTCAACTTTTGAATTGTTCGCTGAAGCCTCATCTTTTTTGATTTCAGGTCTTTGTTGCTAAATTGTCAATATTTCTTTCCAGAGCCCCAAGATTAGATGCATGGAACTTGCTATATCTTATTCAGGTGGTGATGAACTTTACCCGTGTTGTTTGGATAATGGCTTGTTCCCTATGACAATATGCTCTCCGAGTACAGCGGCATTGAAGAGCTTGGAGGTTTCCCAGTTAGACAACTCCAAGCTTCCAAGAAGTCTTGATATATACCAACTCAAACTCTCTCTAAATGCTCATATGAATTCTTCATAAAATCATTCACGACATTAGACAAATAACCTGACGAATTGCACTACAACAATGGATAGAAATGCCCACCTCGAGTTCCTCAGAGAACTCATCATCTCCGCAGCCATCCTCACTTTCGGACATTACACCAATATCATCCCCTTAACGTCCTTCCTCGGCGTCTCAAGCCCAAATTACATCCTTCCACCACTATCGGTTCTGATCGGCCACCTCCTCTGGCACATCTTCGCCCCGGACGCTCGTCCGGAGGATCCAACCGAGTATCTCATTCTTGCACGGGCGTACTTCTTCAACTTCGCGATACTAATGTGGGCCCTCTTTCTTTTCCCATTCCTCTTAGTCGCTCTAGTTTCTGCCATAGGTCTTGTGTTGCCGTTCGTCGTTTTATGGGCAGTTTACCGATGTTTCAGGCCTGAACCTGCGCCAGAGGTTGACGAGTTTGGATGGAGGCACGATGTGAACACAACTAGACTGAGGGAGCCCTACGCTTTGGACGAGTTCCCTGAAGATAACGTGTTTTTGAGGCATGGATTTTCCAATCATTAACGGACATTATTTCTTGATAGATTTGATCAATTGCATGCCAACTTCCTTTAAAGTCGCGTTTTGATTTCAGTGTGACTGTGCCTGCCGCATCTCAAGACAAGTATCACCGCTCCCGGCCCCGGCTTCAACGGCGGGCTTCTCGTCTCAAGTGAATTGAAAGTCGACTTCAGGTGCCTCAAGATCCAGGACGCGTCAGGTTCGCGTAATGTAGCCACCAGGTGCCTACCCACGACTAAATTCACCATCACCAAAGCCACCTCCTGCCCGACATCTCAGGCACAAACCTCACCTTGGACGACCTTCACTTCACCACGCAACGGCTTCAGACCGCCCTCCTTCCTCTTTCCTCCTATTTAATCCAGCTCCCCGATCCCATCTTAGACTTTCCCCTTTTCTCTCTACAACGAAAACAACCTCACAGACTCAAGTCTTCAGTCTTGTTCTATCACCACCAATCGACTTTCCTTCGGGCTGGACCCGTCTCATTCGCATCCCTCCTCTTCTCGTCGGGACCATCCCCAAAACAAACTTCATTCTCAGTGTCTCCATTTCGCTTGACTTCAATTCCATTCGTCACGATGGTGTCCTTGCGCGACATCCTCCCGTTCAGCACAAAGGTCTGCGTGATGAAGCGCGTCCGCTCAGACGGCAGCGTCGAGCTGTACTGCGAGCGGCCTACCAAGGCAAACGCCAGCCGGTATGTCCATGACCCAAAAGCTCGCTTCGTTGTCCATCACCACTGACCAAATCAGGGACGAGTGCATCGAATGCCTCCCAGTTGAGGACTGCCAAGAGATTTACGGCCTGGACCCGACTCCTGTCTTTGCTACCTCCAAGCGCGAGTACTACACCATGGATGGACAACTCTACTCGCGCCCCGCTCAGCAGCCTGCACGTTCCTCGCAGTCGTCCAACAGCTCCAGCAGTTCTCGGGATCGCAATCACGAATCGAGACGATCTCACCATTCCCGGTCCACAGCACCCGTCTTGCGACCAGGAAACCCCGTCACCAATAACTCGACGCGCATTTCGAACGCAGGAAACAACCGACACACAGAGCGCCACTCAAGCCGCTTGTCCAACAATGGCTTCATTCTAAACGGCAATGGTAACACAATCAACTTCCACAACAACCGCACCCACCTCAACTATTCGGGCAATGCCACTTCCTCTTACCATGAGAATCGCCGGTACAACACCCACTCCGCGAGCCAGAATCGTCGTCCCAGCCCAGACGTCGAACTGCGCACAAGAGGCTACTCTCCTCCCCGTGAGCGCTCCGATTTCTCCGCCGCCGAGCAAGCTGCCTGGGAGGAACGCCAGTGGCGAAAGCTTCAAGAGGAGGAGTACGGGCGGGACAGATCGCCTTCGCCTTGCTATGACTACGAAGACAATCGCGACGACCGTGTGAACCGGCAAGAGCGTTCCCGCTCCAGACGTCGCGAGGACAGCCGCGGAAGATTGTCAACCGTGTACCACGACTGCGAGGACGACCGCGACGAGCACGACGATCGCTCCCGCTCCAGACGTCGCGAGCACAGTTGCGGAAGAACTCATTCCACTTACTACGACTACGATGACAACCATGGCGAGCCTCAAGAGCGTCCTCGCACCAGCCTTCGCGAGCGCAGTCGTCGCGAATACAGCCGCGCAAGATCTCCTTCCCCTTACTCCGATTACGAAGACAACCGCAACGATCGCGACGAGCGCGAAGAACGCCTCCACTCCCGCCGCCGTCAACGCAGCGATTCGATCGAAGTCCTCGACTCCCGGTTCATCTACGCTGGCAGTGGCGAGTTCCAGGGTGGTGGTTGGATCTACGCCACCCAGAGGGAATACAGCGCTGACGGCGGCTTCACCTACGTGGGCGAGGGTCGCTACGACAGCGACGGCAGGGAGTACAGCCGCTGAAGAGCTGAGATGCGAGAGAGGATTCGGGTGTGCTTTTGGTTTCGACATGGTAATGAGCGCGCGGCGTGACAGCAAGGCGTTGGTGAGAAAAGCATGGTAATCAGACGCATGGAGCGTGAATTGGTATGACATGGCATGGTATTGGTTTGGAGTTTTCGGTTCCTTTTTGTACTAGGGTTCTGGAAGGGCCTTGTTCTGGCATGTCGTCGAGTCCGAACGATCTGAGCTGGTCTCGATCAAAAAATGCAGATACGATGACGAATACCATAGCTAGATATTGATACGGTAGCAATGAATCCAGCAACGGGCCTCAATTTGGCCTGGTGATCAATTAGTTGTTCTTATAAGTTTGGATGGCATCGTCCTGGGACAGGAAAGCCCGCTATGCTCAACTGAGGCGACAATCTTTGATCAGTGAATGGCGATAAAGGCGAGCTCATAAGTTTGGGGGCAGATAAGCAGCATGCAGGCAAGTGGGCGTAGCTAACCCCAGCTCATCTTAGGTAATGGCACGACGTTGCAATCATACATCATCACATCCGCATTTGTTCATTGCAGCTGCGGGGGAATGAGTCCTTGAAAGGTAAACACCTCAGTCTCGAAGTTGACCTATTGCTGGAGTTGCTTCGTCTCGCTCCAGTGCTCGACGCCACCGAGAGCTCCTCGCTATCTCATACACTGACAAGTTTGCCCTTCGCTTCGACGGTTATTTCCACTCTCTTCAGTTCATCCCTCTGCTGGTACACTGCCCATCTTCTTACAACCCTCCACAAACATGGCTGAAACGGCTCCGTCCTCCCACGAGGTCCCCAAGCTACCGAGTGGTCTCAAGAGCCCCGTTCACCCTGAAAAAGGATGGAATCGTCTGGGGAAAGGAACCTGGTTCCACGGGCGACCAGAGACAGACGTCTACAAACTGCTAATCGACGCTTACCGGCTTCGGATGGACGACAGGTGGGACGTCGCCAAGGTCAAGGAGCCCGGCTCTCTCTACGCCCCCGGGGCCACCGATGGCAAGGAAGGATTCCGCATCTTCCTGGACAAAGCAGAAAAGACAAAGTCCGACGAAGGCAAACCCATGTTGCCGACATGGTGGAACGCGGAGAAGCGCAAAGAGTGCGAGGCTCTTGGGGCCGACACGACGCAGTGGACCAGTTTGGCGAAGAAGGTCAAGAAATGGGACATTCACATCCACTACGACGACATGGCTTTGGCTATGCAATTGCGGTGCGTGGGTGAGAAGGTCTATAACCTTTTGGCAGACGGAAGACGGATTGCCAAGATTCCGGACGATTTGTTTGAGGGGGGTTTGGACAATGAGTTTGATGAGTTTGATTCTGACAGTGACGAGTGGTACACTGATTCCGATTGAGACGAAGGGCGCTCCGATAACGGGATGATGGTCGAGAACCTCTATTGTTTTTCTTCCCTGTTTGTGATAGAAATGATACTTTTGTTTCTCAAAACATAGAGCCAGCGGCAGCGCGTTGCTTTTACAGGCTCGGAACGTCCCCGATGCCAAGAATGACGGAACTCCTACGGCCCACAAAGCCAAGCATCGCCGGAGCCACAAGCAGGATATGAATGCATGCTTCGTTATAAATCGATTGGGTCAACAGGAATCGATCATAAACAACGTATACTGCAGACGTTGGTGTGTACATGTACGTTCAAGTCTCGCATTTCGCCAGCCAAGAAACCTGGTCATGGTTTCGATGGAAGGCAGATGAAAATGCTCTTCCCGCCTCGATTTACAACAAAGTAACCTCTTCAAAGTGATATGAGACCACGTAAATCAAATCAGATGGGTGTCCTTACACTCTCCAATAATTTAAAAGGGTGGTAGCAGGAATTCTTGTGTAATACGAACTAATGAGTACCTACGACATTGCCGTCATCGGTTGGCTCCAGCATCCCATAACATACCGGCTGGGTGCAAATCGCTTCCGAACCCGTTTCTCAGCTTCCGCTTACAACCATTGCCGATGGATGTTGCGTCTTGGCCCGACAGAGGTCCCGCTTGAAGGGCTCAAGATCGGTTGTTTGTCCCGGAACGGCAAGCTTCGACCGCCGAACGTCGGAATAGTCCAGCGGGTTGCTCCGTGCCAGCCAGATGGATGTTGTAAGTCGCGCTATAAAACCAAAAGAAAAGACAGTTGAAGTAACGATTACTTAGAACCATGTTAGCAGTCTTTTGTTTGTATATGAATAATCCTCCTGGCTTCCTGAGGCCTTCGTCAAGCTCTTCATCAACATGCATGTAACGAAAGTCAATGCGGCGGCCTTCGTGCTCTTGGGAGCATCGACTTTGACACAGGCTGCAGGCAACCAGACAGACTTCGTCCAACCAATGCAGGGCGAAGCTCTTGGTGCCCTTAAAAAAGCAGAACCTAATGCAGTACTGAATAGGAATAGTACTTGTACACTGGAGACCGCAGGAGTGCGGAGAAACTGGTAAGTCGTGCTACCCGAAAGATTGAACCGTGACGGCTTTCCTGACGTCAAATTCTATAACAGGGATGATTTGGATGCAGACCAAAGGAAAGAGTACATCCGTGCCGTCAAGTGTCTGCTCTCTTCGCCGTCTTAAACAGACCCAGCGCTCAACACCGGTGCCCGTGTGCGCTATGATGACTTCGCTGCGCAGCATATCAACCAAACCATGAGCGTTCACGTAACTGGAAACTTTTTCACTTGGCATAGACATTATATCTGGTCCTACGAGCAAGCTCTCCGTAACGAGTGCGGTTACTCTGGCTACCTTCCGGCAAGTCATCTCCCGTAATAGGTACCCTAGACTAACAACGTGCAGTATTGGAACTGGTTCTCACACCAAGACGACTTGAGAAAGTCTCCAGTGTTTGATGGTTCAGAGACCAGCATGGGCTCCGACGGACTCTTCGTGCCGCATAACGGGTCCATCGGTTCCGCCGGTCTGCACATCCCTTCCGGTCTGGGAGGCGGCTGCATCGCCACTGGACCTTTCGCCAAGTACGTTGCTGATAACACGCCTCATGTATCTTTGGTTAAAGATTAACACCTCTCAGTTTGTCTGCCAACCTTGGCCCCGGTCCAGCCTCAACAAGATGGCATTGTCGGCGTCGGCACCGCCGACAAGCTCCGCTACAATCCCCACTGCGTGAAACGAGACCTCAGCAGTTGGCTCGCGACGCGCATCTACACCGAAGACGCCTTCCTCAACGCCACTGTCCACGACACGGCAAGTAACATCGCCAGCTTCCAATCCGAGATTGACAGCCAGAGCGCGGGACTCCCGGGCATACACGCTGGCGGCCACCAGACCATCTCCGGTTCCAACTCGGACCTCTACTCGGGTGTTGTCGATCCTGCTTTCTACCTGCATCATACTATGGTTGACCGTATGTACTGGCTCTGGCAAGCGCTGCACTACTCTCAGGCCAAGACAATCTCCGGCACCATTACGTTCGGGAACAGCCCGCCCAGTCGGAACGCTACGCTGGAGGATATTATTGAGCTGCCCTTTCTGGAGGTAGAGCCTGCGACTCTTGGGGGTCTGTTGGATACTTTAGACGGGCCCTACTGTTACATCTACGAATAGAATTTCAGGCTGTGTGGTAGATCTTTGTTGCGATCGCGGGATGGACCAAAAAGATGAAAGGAGCATACGGACGACCACAGTGATGATTGAAAAGACGAAAATGAAGAAAACAGTAAACCGGATGACTAAACAGAAAAAAATACTCAATAGCATACCGAGTCTCGGCCCGCTTAGTTATACGCATCCCTCCTAACGGTGAAGCTCTTAAGCTGAGTAACCCATGCATGCCGATCTGTGTCGTTGGTATCGGTAACATCCGTAGAATTAGTCTTAAAGAGATCGTTCCAGTGTTATGGGTTTGGCCTATCTATGCATTGGCAAGGGCTGACCGAACCTTTGGTAACGTCCCAGGCTTGGTGCATGCAGTTGACGATGGCAACGGCGGTCAATTTGTGCACCACCGGCGTTAACCCGATTGGCGACATGACCATAAGAAGGTGGTGTGTGGTGGATAAATCTGCAGGCTTATCAGCAACAAGATCTCTTTTCCCCTGAATAAAATCAATCTAAAATCGCTTGATCCATGGCCGCGGGAATTGCTCGTAACTTTATTTCGCACTTGGGGGCTCTGGCATCATATTATAGCCGGTGGGATAGTGAACTATTGCCGCAAGAAGTGTCAGTTACGAATAGTAATCAGGCCTGACAGCGGGCACACCGGAAATGAGTCGTCTGGGCCATTGTAACATAACAAACTTTGTAAGCCTGCTCAGATCCTAACGAATTACTACATCCTTGCAAAATAGGCAACTCGCGAAATTGCAGCGGCCTCTGGGTCAATTCCGAGAGCCGTGGCTGTAAACGATTAACCTTGGTCCCTAATTTCAGACCGTGAACTACACTACAAATGCGAGCGAATATCACCATGTCCAACGTCGCCGACTTTTCGATCAGTCAAGTTTCTTGATTTCCACACTCCTTTGGCTCAACGCCATTCAGTCATTCATTTGAAGACAAACTCGTTCAGTCACTCGTTAGACACTTGTTTATTGTTTTATTTTCGCAGAATATAACCAGTCATGTTCATCTTGAACGCTCTCGCAGCTTTGCTGTATGTCTTGCCCGCCGCCCAGGCCCACGTTCCCAAGATTCGGGGCTATGCCTTGACTTGGGCCGACGACTTCAATGGTCGGCGCAACACCCTGCCAGACCCGGACAATTGGATTATCGACACCGGAACTTCTTACAACGGAGGGCCTGCTCAGTGGGGTACCGGAGAAATTCAGACGTACACCAACGATATCAAGAACGTGCGCATGAATGGCAAAGGCAACCTCCAAATCACCGCTATCCGGAATGCCACTGGAACCTGGACGTCTTCACGAATTGAGACTCAGCGTACCGATTTCATGGCTCAGCCGGGCGGAAAGATGATCATCCAGGGAAGCCTCAAGATCCCAGACCTCAACGGCCATGGAGTCGGTTACTGGCCGGCTTTCTGGACTCTGGGCGCTGAATATCGTGGCAACTACTGGTATGCGTTTCTTCTGTGTCGGAAATGAGCTTTACTCACTCGATCCCTAGGAACTGGCCCTCAATTGGAGAATTCGACATTATGGAGAATGTTAATCTCGTCGACCGTCACTGGGGTGTTTACCACTGCGGGACAAACCCTGGCGGACCATGCGATGAGTCCAACGGCATTGGCAACAGCAGCACTTGTCCGGACAGTGCCTGTCCCGGCAACTTCCATACGTATTCTATTGAGGTCGACAGACAGAACACTCCTGAGACCCTGACATGGTTTGTCGATGGGGTTCAGTTTCACCAAGTGAACGAGACAGCCATCCCGGATGCCGTGTGGGAAAAGACCGTTCACAACCCCCACTTCATTCTCATGAACATGGCTATCGGTGGAGGCTTTCCCAACGGTGTTTACGGCTCCGAGACCCCAACCAACGCTACAGTTTCAGGTGGAACATATGAGGCTGAATATGTAGCTGTGTACAACTCATTCAACCATACTCGTCAAGACTCTTAGTTATGCTGAGTTAATTTGGGCGGAGATCATAGAGAGAACAAAGATGCCATTCGAGGATCAACAATATGATCGCCCCAGCGGATCTGTTGCTATATATTGTCCTTCTATACAAAGTATGAAAACTATAACGTAGCAAGAAATTCGAGAACAGGCTTCGAAGCCCGCCAGTCTGAAAGTATCTTTCCATTGTCATCCCACGACAGAAAGCTTTTGTAAACATGGTACGATAGCTGTTGAAAATAAGCCTGCTAGTATTCACCAAAATGCTGGTTTTAGTACGCAAACAAAAGCAGGCACGGCAACCCAGATCAGTGTGGAAATCGCGTGACACGACTTCACAGGCATCTCGGTTCCTTATCCGATCTAAGGGGGGCCACCAGGGATAGGGGTAGTGTCCAGCCAGCGGTCTCCAATCCAGCGAACGTACTGGCGACCGTAGACGCAGTAGTAGTAGCCACCTCGGTTATCCCTATTAGGAGACCACATGACGTAGTTTCCTCCATTGTCTTGTGCTCCGGCACAGGTGATCTGCCTGTTACGAACCGTGTAGGCCGTTTGAGCTTGTTTCTTCCACACCGCGAAGTAATCGTTCGGGTTTCCGTCGCACTGGTAATTGTTGCCGGTGTCTATCGATGCCTCGACCGCAAATCCGGCGTTGAGCCAAGACCAAGCCGTCGCCGAGGCAGACCAACCAATACTGAAAGACCGAGTGACGGATCGTGCAGTGGAGCAAGTATTCTGAGCGCCGCATTGCATCGGCTCCTGTGATATGCCGTGTTAGCTCCGATGTGGGACTGATTGAAAGTTGGACGAGGAGAAAAGCGGAAGGGGAAGGAACCATACACTAAGCTGAATGTTCAGAGGGTTTTGATGAGGGTTACCGTCACCAATACGGTAGGTCGTCTTGCTGTAAACGCCGCAAACTTGGCGTTCCGCGAGAGTTGAGTTGTCCGGAGGTGCTAGAGGCTGCTCTTGCGGGAGAAAGGTTGGTCTTCTGTAAAATCCCTCAAGGGTCGCCTCAAGGTCCAGCGCGTCGGCAGAGACTGTAGATCTCTTCGACATGCACCCTGGGAAGCTGCCCCGATCTATCGCAGGCAAGTCGGAGGAAACCAGAGCAGTCACCTCGCAGTTGACTACAGTCTCTATGTCGTTGTACATACGGCCGCAGACGACACCCCCCGAGAGTTCAGGATTGTCTATGATCAAAAACTCCCTCTCGTTCACAGTGATGTTCCCAGATCCTCTCTGGTCAACGTCAAATGCGATCGAGGCGGCGCCCAAGGTCAGGCTGGTCGAGCAGGAGTGACCAATGACTTCGGTACGATCATTGTTGTAAGCTACGATCGAGGGATGTGTCTGGTCGGGCTTGAGAAAGTGCAGCGTGACTTGTATATCTCGTGATGCAAGACCGCTGTCAAGAGGAGCAGAAAAAGCCCCGGCGAATGCCCAGGCGGCTAGAAGAGCGTAATAGCTCATGGTGGTTTAAGAAAGAGGTGTAGTAGAAGCTGCGGAAGTTGAGAGGTACTCGTCTCTGAAGCTCAGATATAAGAAGCCGGTTGCGTCTGCCTTACTTATAGAGAGCAGCGTGTCGTATGTCCCAGTCATGTCCCCGTTGAAAGGCCCCTCTTCAAATGGCTATGTGAGTAATCTTCTGCCTGTCTTCGAATCTGGGAGATACAAGGCACAGCAACACTCACCTGAACAGCCTGGCGACTGCATGATGGAGTTCCCCTGTCTAGGACTGTGCCGTACTGTTACGCTCGTATAGCAGAAGTCCTCTGCATCTCAGAGGACCCGCAAGGTTAACCATGTTCACAACAACACGAACAATCAGCGGTTGCAAGCTATCTAATTGAAGTATCAATTGTGTTTAAATTGACTTGTAGAACATTGCAATAACAATGCCGATGGCCACTGGAAAGTCATTTTAAATCATGATTAAGGTTGACATAATAAATCTGAGTAATATGTGACTCGATCTCTCACTTCGAACGAAAGATTCCCCAGTTCGTACCAGCATCTCAACATCTACAGAAGAAAGAAATGTGAAATGGACATGTTAGCTGCATTGCACATTTATGGATGAGGTCCCACTAAGCTTCGAGCCGCATCGAAGCCCCGGTAAAGTGGCCCTCAAATCAGGCAGCGTCGCGGTGTCTTTAGCGGAGGGCTGCGGGCATCTCTCGGCCTCATAAGACCATGATCCACATTGCCCCATGAGAGCCAGGAAACGCTCGTCTGACCATGCCGAAATCAGTGCCAAGACCAATACCAAGGCCTCACGCCAAAGCCAACACGGACACCAACATTGATACCAGCACCAACACCAACACAAGGTTTAACCACTTATATCGACTCTGATTGATATGTGACACAGCCAAAGTCGAGTATCTCGGGGAGATAGCCACCGCGGAGGATCAAGGTAGCTTCCTGGGAATGTTTCCTTCCAAGTTAGCCTTTTATCGTCCTTTTATCGTATACAACATTAAACCTGCAACGGCTTAGCTTCAGCAACATCGCGTAGTCACTTTTGGCAAGCACGCCTGGTTTAGAGCCGTACGGCCCGTACCATAGCCCCTGACAAAATGCTATCCAAAGTAGGCAAGCGGCTACTCGGCGGAGAGTCTTCCCCGTCCCAGATGCCTGCGGCCCACCTGCCTGCCCCATAGGCGGACACCCTGGACGACATGCCAAGCGTAGTAAATTTTCACTACCAACACCAACGCCAAGAGAAGACCCTTGAAAAGAGTAGCCGATAACCGGTCTACAGCGACAAGGAGATTTTCGAGGCGGAATACGCGCCATTAGGCATTAAGGCTAGCTGCGCCCTAAACATATGAAGCCGATGGCCAAGCACTCGTCTGTCCACTAAACCATTTTGTCCCTGGAATCATTCGCACTTCCTCTCTTCCTCCGCAAGAGCATACGTCTCGTTCTCAAGTCTACTCCAGAACCGCTACCTGCGTCTTCTCGCGTTCAGATCCGACAAGCAGCCTCAACATGAACTCCACTGCGAATTGCCCAGATGCTTCCACCCTACCAGACTTCGCCAACATACACGGCATTCCAAGCAACATCAGTACCGGCTTCGTACCTATAGGTCGGAATGGGTCATACGAGGCGATGTCGGCGTGCTGTTCACCTAGTACTGTCAGCATAGCAAGCGACTGTTATTACTGGTGCGAGATGTCGACAGAAACTCTCGACAGCTTTGGGTCGTGTTTGAATCGCAATGGAATTGAAAGGGGAATCATTGGAACGCACGAGAGCGGTGCCGCTAGCTTGAAGACATGCAGTCTTGGAGGGATGGCGGTGTGGGCACTTCTTGTCACCAGCGCGCTGTGTCTGTGATGAGAGGTGCGCAGCCAGGTGGTCGTTGGGTTGCGACAAGGTCACAGTTGAAGCATCGCAAATTGAAGTATTGCAACCGGTTGATTAAATAATGAACGTGCTGAGCGGCTTGATGCTATGATAGGTCTGCTCCGAATGGAACAGCTCAACTTCCAACGTAAAACTTAAACCGAGTAGTATCCTAGTTTTATTCAACCGAGTGCAAAATATTTCCGTAAAAAGCCATGAGGCTGGGGACGTCGTGGGTGTCAAGTCACCAAACCATGCCATGGCCTTTGTGCACGTTTTTTGAAGGACACAAATTGCGCAAAGTTTTGAGGCTGTGATATTTCTGTACTGGACATCAATGTCGGTTTCTCAAATTCATCCATGCGGAAACAACGTCCTGTAGCTTGAATTATATGCTGTAGGATAGCCTGGTTTTTATACTAGGCGTGGCCCTTGACGGGTTTAGCTACTTACCTTTTCCGCTCATGAATCTCATTTAACCGACGCTTCCAGCGTTACATTCAATGTCGTAAAGGATCTCATGATTCGAGTACGACGGTATTTCAGGAGGCGTCAATAGCCCGCGCAGAACAATCTCCATGCTCATATTTCATTCCAATCTACACGGATTCTGATGTTCTGTGACGGATGCAAAACATCATGTCTCGGTAAATTTCCGACAGCCAGCGCCGTTTACATTGGCTGACGTTGACCTTTACTTATCTAGTCAGCAGTAATAGGTTCAACAGACTTCACCGTTGTACCTGAATATCTGCTTTCTATTTTCCGTCTCTCCCACGTCATAATCCGCAAAAGCATTCTTGCTCCAAGACCGACCCTCCGCCGTCTTCACCTCAATAAGACCTTTGCTACGGCAAACATCCAATTGACCTCGCAGCACGTCACCGAAGAACCCAGGTGTGTAATCAATGATGGTGATCCGACGCAGACATGGCATCCCTGCCATGGTCGCATCCAGTTCCTGCCATTGATCTATATCCCTGTACTGCGGGCTGGTCGTGAGATGTAGGAAGATGTGCTCCAGAGTAGCCGCGGCTGAAGAGATCGTGGCCAGAGCAGAAGCAATGCCTGTTTTGCCTAGGTTTCCTCGACCCGGGGTGCGGAGGTTGATGCTTAGGTTTCTAAGACAGGGCATCTTCGGAAGGACCAAGTTGCCTAATGGATGTCAGCGTCCTGGGAAACGTGTGTAGTGGGAGGGATTGTTACCAGGATCGTCGAAAGATGCAGCCAGAGATTGAAGTGTGGCAGCCGTGGCGCGAATTAATCGCTCCAGCTTTACTCTTGTTTCCTGTGGAGATTCGGCAACGAGAGTCTCAAGCATTGGGAGTTTGGCTCTCGATAGCGCCGGAACAATGTGTGACCAGACTTTTCGTACAACCCAATGTGTGCCGTCGAGGGGCGGCCCCTCGGCCGAGTAAAGACACAGGGCTCGAAGATTTCCCAGCCGTACAGCAATGGAAGCGATTTCGTTCTCAGTGTTTTCGACCTTGTGCTCCTTCCATCGGCGCAGGATTTCCGCCCCATCGGTAATAACTGGCCCCTCCACTGATACCAGACCGACCCCCAGAAAACTGATATCAGGCTGGTCTAAAACAATTCTCATCGCCCGACTCAAATCACTTGCCATCAGCCACTTCACAATGAGCGATCTACGGGGTCGCGCCTGTCTGAGGAACTCTTGCTGCTGGCCCTCGGAAAGGTTACAGAGGCCAAAATTGTCGAGAACCAAATCAGAACGTGCGTGAAAGTGGTTCATGATGGTAATGACATTCTCTCTGAAGGCTTGTATTGCCTCATCGTTGATTGGTTCATCAACACAAATAGCCTCGACTATTTGCGGGATCGTTGTGCCGGGGCCTAGAAGGACGGCGAGCTTCTCGGCAGTCTGGGCCGTTAAATGGATCCTCCGCCGGCGCCACTGAACTTCTCGGACTGGAGACCACCAAGAGCGGCATACATGGCCGGCGGCAGAGAGGGAGGAGGTAGGAAGATAAGAGAAGCAGTGCTCGAGAAGCTCTGGAGGGAAGGCTGGGATGGACATTGTAAAACTTGTTCGGGGAAAAAATGCCGTGGAGAGTTGTATGGATTCCCGTCCAAATTCTTCTTTGTCGGAATTGATTTGTTTTGGTTGAGCTACTGACCGCTCTAGTGCCGAGTGTTAATCAGCGCGGTTGGTGGGTGGCTTGTATGATTGAGTGGCTTGTCATGCACATCCGAACCTTGTTGCTCATATCTAGCCATTGGAAATCTACGTAGAAATAGCCCAGCATGTATATCGACTGTGGCTTTCACCATTCCTCGATCTTGGGTGCATGTGTGCGATAACGCGACACATTAGTTAAGGAAACTGCGAAGGAAAAAAAGTTAGAACGGAAGAAAGGTTCATAGAGTCTCACTCATGAAGATTTATGATACTGTTCTGCTAAAATACAATTTTGGGTAGACTACTCGAACATAATCATAGGTTGTCTTATTATTTCGAAGACGCGCCACTACTCAGCACCCTAAACAACTATCCTGTTTCGCTAGTACACCCATCCATGCATGAGAGAGAGAATGTCAAAATGTAATTGAGCACGACAACTTTAGCCTTAGATAGCTTCCTAGTAGGTGCATAAAACAACAAAGGCCATGGTCACCTCGCAAGTGTGCTAGCTAGCTCTCTCCAACGCCAGCTATAGTCCATCCCAAATCAACCTAGCCCGGCTTCACTAGTTCAACTTAAATAGTCCAGCTCGTCCTCAGGGGCAACCACACTTCACAAACTCTCCCTTCCTTCATTTCGTTTTCAATACTGGTGAACGAATCTTTTCCGATAATCTCAACGATGCTTATTCAAGCCTTTCCCCCAGAGCTGCTCTACTAATGCTTATCCCACTTGCCCACCTCCTCTCTGCCCGCCGCGAGCCTCGTCAGCCGCTCCTGGCTCCCTCCGTCTCGAGAATTTTATTGGGAACGCCAAAGAGTCTACTTATGTATTCCATTCGCAGAGATGCTAGTCTCCGTCCTGGATCCCGGTACGGCGATCCCTCGTAAAGTGAAGACCCTTTGCGTCGACGACGAACCAAAGCCTAAGCATCCAGACCCCGAGAGACAACTAACCTGGCACGCCAATCTGGTTATGGTCATGCGTCACTTTCTGCGAACCTCTAACTTGTTTATCCAGCACTTGGACCTTTGCTGCCATTCCGGGAGCCTTCGGAAGGAGTTGCTCAGGGCAGCGCGGCCGCAGACATCACTCAGCGTCATGTACCCAGGATTGCTCATATTCGCGACGCTTTGGACATTATGTTAGACCAGCCCAGTATCAGTACTCTGGCGCTCGGCTACGTGGAGTTGATGACCAAATACCGTGGTCATGAATGTATCACAACAATGGGACAGGATGCAAACGGCACGGCCGATCACAAAAGGGTCGCTATCGCGATCTCGCCTGCTTCTCCGGAACCAGTTGTGCGACTGGGAAACCTTCGGCATCTATGTCTTTCTGTTTGTACACCAAGACGTGATGGAGTATGGTCGGATATTGTCTCCGCGCTGGCACAAGCTCGACTCCCGAAGCTGGAGACCCTAGTCGCCGATAATGTTGATCAAGACAGGGGGCCCCTTTTGAAGTTGATCAAGAGCACGGCTTCGTCGCTGGTCTCTCTGGCTGTCATATTCCAGCATAGTGGTAAATAGTGTTCCTCGTCACTCAAGTCAATAGAATGCTGACATCTCCTAGGAGCCGCATTGATCCTTCCCGACATGCCATCCCTTACAACCCTAAGTCTCGGCCTTGAGTGGAGCCAGGACGACCCAAACAATCTGGTCCTGCCTCTTGTCACAATTTTCTCAGCCCCGACGACGCTCAAACGCATCTTCTTCCACGTCAACCAGGACGTGTTCGAGTCAGAAGAAGAGGAATTAGAGTCGGCGGATTGGGAAGCGCTGGATACCGCTATGGTGGCGATGCCGCGCCTGAGTCGAGTCGCCTTCGTTGTCACTCTGGGGTCCAGCGTCCGTCATGGAGAACGGTCCATGTTCTTCACCGCATTGGAATATGGCGAAGAACGGGCAAGAGAGGGCGCAAACGATGCAATGCGGTATCTTGAAGCGCACCTGCCCGCTTGCTTCGAGAATGGAATTGTTGAGGTGGAGATAACGAGTGTTAGTAGGAAATTTTGTGATGACGCCTTTTTGGGCAGTGATATAGGTCCCATATTCTGGGAGGAATGATGTTGGCCGAGGCTCAAAGATTCCGCTACTAATGGGCTGAAACCACGTTTATGCATGTTGCCGCCAGCCAAGTGACATAGGCTAGCTTGGTCAAGAGACCAGACGAGCTCGCAGGTCCTCCGTCGAAAGTCTGTTAGAAAAGTGATGTTATCATATCCATCGCACATGCGACCAAAACTTCAGCTAACCAAGTTTGGATATATCAACAAGCTGTATGTCTCTCAAGCCTCCCCGCCCTCAAACAGCTTCTGCACCACGCCAGCATTCTCCCACGCCCTGCTCATCAACCCCCAAACCCTCTTCGTCCCCAAACTATCCACAAACTCCACCACGCGACTGATCTCCCCCTCCTCGTCCACCGTCAAGAAGAACATGTACTCCCCCACGTAGTCCCATTCCGTCCCATCCTCACCCTCCTTCAGCCCCTTCACCTCGGCCTTAAACTCCGCCACGGCAGTCGCCCAGATCAGGACCTGCCGTTTGGGAACGTTGACGTGGATCTCTTTGGCCGTGACGGGGAAGCCGGTCATGATGAGCCGTAGCTTGGCTAGGTGCGCCGCCAGCTCCGCGTTCGTCATCGGCGGCGGCGGGCCCATGGAGGCGGGCGCGAAGGTGTGCGTGCAGGAGGGGGCGCGTAGGGAGATGTGCGCGGTTTCGTCGAGGGTGTCGAAGGCGCGGATGAAGGCGGTGCCTACTTCGTGGAGGGCTTGCTCTGCCGTCATGGTGCTTTTTGATGGGAGTTGGTGATGAATTGCCGGGCCTTTTCGGATATGATCTATTGCAATTGTGAACATTTCTTTTCTATGAAATGTAAAGTCCATGTCGGAGTGCCGAACTGGAGTTAAGCGTTGTAAATTCCGAACCAAGTTGTGTTGAGTCGCGCTCAACGTCATCCTAAGTCCGGGGTGTTGTCGTCGCTGATCGCCCCATCCACTGCCAGTGGATTCGAACACACTGCGCGGGGTAATTCCCGACGAAACGGTCCCGAATGATGAGATAAAACAAAGTAATATGTCTTACTAAGGGGACATGAATTCCATATGAGTTTTGCAGTTCGAAAGGATAAGGTACTGACAGAGAACAGCAGACGCGGCAGAGCCGTAGTTGTACTAATAGTAGGAACGATGATAATAGTAACAATAACTGCAGTGGAAATCATATTGAAGAGAGCAATTCGCGTAGTGGAAGAGCAAGAGTTATAACCGAACAAACAACCAACTCAGTAATTAGCCCTCCGCTCGGATCGCATGTCTCTCTCATGCTAAACCACCCAGGTAAGAATTAGTAAAGAGTCAAAAGTCTCACCGAATCTAATGGTATCCATCATGGTCTCTCGGCTTAGGTCAACGTCAGTGTCTACATGAAGGCTACCAGGCTTATTTTATATTAACTGTTGTTCATGGATAAGGCCCGTCGCGCCGCAATATTGACCGTGGAGTTGACTTTGTCTTTGTTCTTGTGATGACTTTTGCTCTGTTTGCAGTGCTCACTGCCTACTTCAATTACGACATCACCGCAAATGAATACGTCTTAGATCTACTTCATTGAATGGCCAAAAACTGGACCGCATCGATAGAACTCAGCCTCCTTTCCACAACCTCACTCCGAAGAATCACTCCCAACCAAAGTCCACCCCGCAACACCCACCCCCAGCTCCCCCTCCACAACCCCCACCACCTTCCTCAAAACACCCAACATCTCCTGGGTACAAAACACCCGCACAAGCCCCTCGACGCTCATCCTCCTCAACCTCTCCCTCACTGCGACCACTGCATCGAGCTCGCTGCCCTCAGGCTCACCCGCAGCAGCGACGATCGCCACGTCAACCCGCTCCGCGACCTCGTCCGCCAGACTATCCAGCACCGCGCCCCGCACATCCTCGACGAAGCGCGCGCGCTCGAAGTCAAAGTTGTCGTGGACGGCGGCCTGGATCTGGGACTGCAGGGTGTTGGCGGCTTGGAGGGACTGGAGGTACCGGCGGTCTGGGGAGGTGTACGCCCCGTTTCGCATTTTGACGTCGCCTTCGGTGTCGAGGGAGCGTTTGGAGGCTGTTGAGGAGGGGGTGCGCCTGGAGGCGTTTGAATGGGCGTCGCGGCGGGCGGAGGGCGAAGGGGTCTTGGGGGAGGAAGGGTTTGGGGTTTTGTAGTCTGGAGTTGAACGAGGGGGAGTTTGAGAGGTTCGTTGTGAGGGTGGTGTTCTCGGAGGGGAGGGCTGAGAGTCAGGTTCGGCGATGATTTCGAAGGAGGTGCGGCAGGGCAGGAGAGGGAGGTTCAGGAAGTTGAAAGGAGGGAGGGTTTGTGTGATGTTAGTGAAGGGGTCTTCAAGAAGGCGGGAGGTGGGTTTGGGGGTTGATTTCGTGGGAGGCATCGTGCTGGTTTGCTGATTAGCAGAATCTGTATTTGAACAGTGTAAAGTTCGTGATGGTTATGATAGCAATGTTCTTGGTCTGGCATCTTCGGGATGCTATATAGATCTTTTTCACGCCTTGGACGTTACGGTGTTGAGTTGAAAACAGTCACGCATCGTGAAACCCTCATCGTGAGATTCACTTCAAAATGTCAGTCACTCAGATCAAAGAGCAAACCAGAGGACCTTGGCAATACATTGGGTGATCTCATATCGGAGACAGGACGGCTTGACCCAAGCACCTGCGTGGATCACTCGATCCTTCCGAACTTCATCCGGAGGTTCTATGAGAAACAAGCCTGGCCAGCCGTTGGGCAGCGTGGCCACGTCATTCTCAATCCATAGGGTAGATCAGTGACATGCAAATTGCTGACTCGTCAGAAAATCGGCGTCGTTGTTTGGGCGCGTCCAGCCAGCGGCTGACTGGGAACCACAGTGCCACAATGCCAACCTCCAGTCCCCCACTCGCTTCGCAGAAGTTCCACCCAGGGGTTGACGAGGGACAAAAGAGAAAAAGCTGCATTTGATGACAGCTTCGGCTAAGCAAACAGCCGTTTGCCACGCGCATATCCGTGAAATTATGTGAGTCTCCTGACTCCCCTCGCCGACTTCCGAGGTATAAAAAAGGGATGAACTTGTCCCCCCACCCGACCGGCCGAACTGAACCGGCCGACAGCGTTTGGCAGGTGTGTGTTCGTAGGGCAGGTAAAGACCGGACGGCGGGAATAGGCTAGACTGGCGCGGACTGCTGCAGGGTCCTGTCAGTGCACAGATGCGGGCGGATGAGATCCTGCAGGCAGACGGGCGGAAGGGCCTCCGCGTGTTGATGGTGTGCTGGCTTGCGCCCGTGGTTGTTGGCGCTGGGCTGCACAGCTCATCTGCGAATGTACGTCTGCGACACATGGTGCAGTCGGTTGCTGCAATTTTGGGCAATCCGCTCGCATTCTGCCCCTCCTCTTCCGAACACGAGCAGCAGCGAGCAGCGGCGTTCATGCCCAGCTGCTGTGTCGGCGATCATTGAGGCAGGCTGGGGCCGGGAGCGCCGGGTTCTGGACTTGGGATTCGCCGTTTAGATGTAAACAGCGCAGTACCTCTGAGCTCGGCAGCTGAGCAGCGAGGAGGGGCATGTCGGGGTTTGAAAATTTGCGGTCTGGGAGTGCGACTGCATTGCGAATTCCAGTGTACTCTGTATTGCCCTCTCAATCCCTCGGAACTGATGCCATCTAGGGTATCCAGATCAACATAATCTCCTCCTTGAAGCGACAGGAAAGTCGCAGGCATATGTGGCAGCCAGACCGGGCCGGTCCAATCTCGAGGCGACAGTCCAGACACTGCGTCTCAGTCTGCGACAGGTTGAATGGTCGGTGATGAAAGTTGTCGCTGAGGTGAGTTGTGATTTTTGACCGTATTTCCCGAGGTCGTTTGTCGTCAGTGCCTAGACCATGCTGGGTCTTGTTAGTTAAGAGGGTTGCAGTTGGATTTGCAGATTTGCAGACGGCGCCCGCGTTGGAGTCTCGGCTGGAGGAAGATGAGGAGAAGCAGCAGCGGTCTTCGGACAGGGAACAGGGGACGGGGCACAGCAATCCGCCATGTCGATCAGCACTCTGCACGGCAGGTCTGAGGTCAAACAGAGCCAATCCGCAGCGCGGTTCGTCTGGTCAATCGCGATGACTGTGGTGTTGTTGTATGAGCAAAGATTGCCGCCGGACTGCTGGCGATGTCACTGCGCGGGTTGTCGACTCGGGTTCGCAGACGATGCATGTGACGCCTGCTGCCAAAAACAGCATCTCTTTCCGCTCGGGGAAAAACGTAAAAGAGACAACGAAAATGAGCACGGGGAGTCCCAAGAGAAAAAAAGAATGGGGATGTTGGAAAATGGATCGAAAATGGATCGAGAACACGGCCACTGCGAAAATTGTGAGGGCGCACGGGAACACTCGGGGATGGCAGCTGCTACCAGTCGCAAAGTCACTTCCTTCCCAAAACAGGCGGGAGGTACCTGATATGATGTCCTGCCCGCCAATTGGCCACGGGTGGGGCCGGGTGGCCCGTGCTGCTCGTTCGATTGGGGGAAGGAATGGGCTGTTGGTCGCGACGTTCGACGCTGCAGCGAAATCAGACCACTTTGGCCGCTTCTCGACCCAAACCCTCCTTCCCACAACCACAACCTTGCTCCCCAACGACCTGACCCTCATCTCGCTCATTGTCGCCGGCATCATTCAGTCGCCCTCCGGCCTGCATGTCCAATCTCTGAGGCTGAATTGGAAAACTCTGCTGTGGCCATGTCCCTTCATTGTCCGATGGATGTCCTCGCTAGGCACCGGACGCCCTGCCGCGGCCGGACAACGGAGTCACAAAGCAACTACGATCCGTCACCGGCATCGTCGATGCATCTCCGTTACGGATACCGCTTGTCTATCTGACGTCGCCGATGGATGCTACCATTGCTACTGCTGCTATTGATGCTACTACTACGGATATTGCTGTGGCTGTTACGTATACTGCACCTCAGCTCAGCTGTGGCTCGTCGCTCCTCGCCGCCGAGGCCGAGGCCTCTTCCACAGCCCAGCTCCTTCGGCTCCGTCTCCCGGCATCTTCGGGTCTCCACGACCAGACGCCAGCTTGCACATCCTCCAGCCCATCCTCTCCACCAGGGCAACTTGACGTTTAGCTTGAGAGCTGCAATCCGTACCAACCAGCCGCTCGGGTCTGCCAGCGCAGCACATCACCACGCACATCACCGCCCAGAACATGTCACTCATGCCGTGTTTGGTATGGCGTACCCCAGAGACCGACGTCCTGACTCTCATCCTCGAAGCACCCGTCTTCCAGAACTTGGTTGGGACCTGGCACACTCGTCGTCCGTGCCAGGGAAGTGGAATCCCAAGTGGGAAGTGCGTGGGAGACGTGGGCGGGCGTGGGAGGGAGGGGACCCTGGAGATCTCGATCCCGCGGCGCACGCTGCCTGCCGTGGGTCACCTGTCAAACCGTTTTGGACCGTTTGCACTCCCGAAAGTACATGCACCAGCACGCATGTCAACGACTCTCGACAGTCAACTGGAAACACGCTGCCGCCAAAACATCTTCATCAAGCAAGGCACGACGACATCGACACATGCACCTTGCACGCGATACCCACAGCCAGCCCACGCCATCACAGCGACCGCATGCACGTCAGGAACATGCCCAGCCCTCGGATTCCCATCACTGCCCGCCCATCAACACCAATTTCCCCTTCACCGGCCCCGTTCGCCAATTATGTAATGTTTGACACCTCACTTTTTTGACGCCGTCAGGAATTATATGCGCTCCATCTCGGCCGATGAGGACGGGATCTTGGTTCTGAGGGGTCTCGGGACATTGCCAACTGACGTCCTGGAGTGGTCCCTTTTCGGGGTCCCTGCGATCCAGATTCATCCCATTGCATGGCATCGCACGAGATTGAAGCATCCGAACCAAGGTCTTGACGCCGTGTCCAAGGTTTTGCAACAACTGAAGCGGCTCGCAATCTGAAGGCATCGAGAGAATGACTAGCGACAGAATTGCTGATGGTCAGATCTTATGCAAGATGATGACGGCCGGGGCAGAATATCGCAAAGAAACCGCTCGCTTCCGACGCCCCATGGCCTCATGTGCCCGTACTCGCAATTTAGCTTGAGGCTTATTGCCCGGTAGCTAGCCAACGCTCGAAGTTGGCAACGGCTTTCCTCTCCCCGCCAAGCTACCAATCCGCCCCTCTATCGTTCTATTCTCTTTCCATCTCGTCGTGGCCCGGTCCGGGATTTGCCCATCCACCCCGGACCCTGTCACCGTTCCGAGCTCGCCCTCTGATGTCTCTGTTCTTAGTCAGGGCGCGGGACTCGAGTCTGCTCGGTGGGCAAAGACATTATCTCATTGGAAACTGCACTGCGCAGCATGCACCGTTTCTCTCCGTTCCAGATCGCCCGCAAACGCCTTGTATCGGAATCACATCTCCCAAGCACCAGATGTGCTTTCCCATAGCACCAGAAATCCACAAGTAAACGCAGAGCACAGCAGTTTCCATGGTTGGGTGCCATGGATCAGGGATGACATAGGGCCACCGGGCGGTCACCTCTCTCCGGCGGCCCCCTAGCCTCTCCCAACATCCCTACCAGGTACGCCGTCCTAATGGACCGCTTGCCGACTCGGGATCCTCCCTCGTGCATGTGTCAAAGTAAACTCCACAGCACATCTTATGTCAATCATCAGTCTTTCCACCGTCGGATCCGTCCGCCCGCACCATCCCAAGCATCCACCCCCCGGCGTTCTCGTCGTTTACTGCTGTGCTGCTGGGCAAGTGACCGTCAGCCAGGCCCTCTCTGCTCCCCCGGGGTGTACAATGTGTGCCCGCCACACGAGCTGCCGTAGCGCACACCCGCAGTCGTACCTTTTTCTGTCACTTGTCCCTTGTCCATGGGCCGGTCGTATGACGAGCCCGTCCATCGCCAGTTTTGCTCGCCGTTCCAACCCGCGCCCGCCTTACCATGGCCCTCATCACCCCCAATTCTCGCCAGGTGGCCCACCCTATGCTACGCCGCGGAGCTCTACCCCGGCCGCCCTCTGCCAAGCAATTGGGAAACGCACCTCTTTTTTTTGGTTTCTGCATTTTCATCGAGTTGTAGGTATATAGCTTTGTCCCTCCGTCGAGTAGTCTCCCCACCTGTCCTATGCTCGAACCATCAGCCTCAATCGCCAAAGTAACATCATCATACAACTACACATCTCGCCATCCGGCACTTGCACACACACACCTACACACATATCTGGTCTTCACTCCCCCGAGTAACGCCACCACTTCACACACATCTTCAATCAACTCACCACAACAACAACCCCTGGACACATCTACCCCTCCATGAATCGAACCATGGCCCAACAACAGTCCTTCGATTACTATCAAGTACCCCAGATGCCTCAATCGGGTGTCTCAATGGTAAGCCCATTTAACCGCCCCAATCTCCGAATAACCTCACTTTTTCTTCTCTTCGCTCCAACAAGCCCAAGACTAACATCTCTCCCACCAGTCACCCCCAGAGCTCTCTCCCCTCTCATTCTACGACACCCAAGCCGACTTCAGCGCCGACTCCGCACCATCCCGCGGCTCCCCCGTGTCTCCCGTCTTCCCCGCCTCCTCCTTCACCCTCCCCTCCGGCACCGACTGGCCCGCCTACTTTGAGAAGCCCACCCTCTCCCCAGACCTCGACGTCTTCTACGGCGAATTCGGCAGCCCGATGTCCTTCCTCTCCTCCCAGAACATCGCCCTCAGCCCCACCGCCAACCCCGCAGACCTGACCTGCGACACGGTAGCCTTCGGCCGCGAGGGTATCAACGACACACAACCCCTCTTCCAGTCCCTCGATGCCCCGGCCCAAACCGCCCGCCCGCAACCACAAGTCAAGACCGAGAGGTCAACCATCACCGCCCGCCCTGCCACCCAACAACAACAAGCACCCAGACAACCCGCCCCCCAACAACAACAGCAGCGCACATCCCCCCGCAACGACCTCAAGCGCAAATCCTCCGCCTCCACCGCCTCCTCCTCCCGCTCCGCCTCCCCGGAGCCCCCCGCCCGCCGCACAAAGCACGAGCCCAGCAAGAACCCGCACAACATGATCGAGAAGCGCTACCGCGTCAACATCAACGAGAAGATCATTGCCCTCCGCGACGCGGTCCCCTCGCTGCGCTGCGTCGTCCAGCAGACCGAGAACCCGCAGGCCGCCGCCGCGCACGGGGATTCCGACGAGGCGTTCGACGTCGTCGAGGAGCTCGGCGGCCTGATGCCCGCGCGCAAGCTCAACAAGGCCACGATCCTGAGCAAGGCGACCGAGTACATCACGCACCTCGAGAAGAAGAACGGCATGCTCTGGAAGGAGAACCAGGAGCTCGAGAAGAGGCTGGCGGAGTGCCAGCGCTGGAGGGGGCAGAGCGAGGCTGCTGCCGCTGGGGCTTACTGGTCCTAGTTCCCTTGTTTTCTCTTCGGTTTTTTCTACCTTATTTGGGATGATTACAAAAACAAAACAGACGACATAGCAACAAAGACGTTGAGGAGTGTATATACCGGGCTGTATCTACGATTAGAGAAAACGGCGCTGAGCGGAAGGGAGAAAGGTGACGATTGGGCGTTTTGCGGCTTTGATATTGGGAAGGCTTTGTGTTTGGGGCAAAAGGGCTGTATACCACGATGAGCATGTCATCATCTGACACGGCGTTTTTCATGATGAGGAAGGAAACTTGGGAATGAGCTGGAATAGGCTTTTGGTTTTTGGTTTGTGACGAGTGCAGCCAAACTCTCCCCTTTTCTTTGCGCAGCAATGCGATAATGAAGAAGACACTTTTACTGTTCATGATGATTGTCCTTCGAAGTATGAGATGGTGGCCAATAAGGAGCTAGTGTATGAGAGGGAGTTCTTCATTCGGGTAAGTCTCCCATCCTTCGAAACGGACGGCTCTGGACCCAAGCAGTGTCTTCCGAGACCGAAAGCGGGGCCGATCTCTTTCACTGAGCCGAACATCGGGCCGCTAAGTCCTGCATTCCGCGCAGGAGTATAGCCAGTGAGCGGTGAACCTATACCAACGTTAGTACTCCACCGTTTTGTGACAAACTGGTGACGCCAACTCACCAAGGCGAACATCGTCCAAACAAACAATTTGGAACATGTGTCTCTCCGTCGTGACCACGGACAGGGGTCTGAAAATGGCCACAACGGCAGCAGGAACGCGCTGGTGAGGCAGTTGAAGGTGGGATGGATGACTTCCAGGAGCAGAAACTGGGGTGCGTCGTTGGTGAAAAAGCGGAATTGGGGTGTGAGGTGGGGGGTGCGTTCGATATAGGTGCTGTAGGTAATGACCTGATCGAGGAAGGAATCTGAGGGCCAGGACATCGTGTGATCGGGATTGTTTCAACAGGATGAATACTGGAGAGATTCTGTTACTAGAGAGATCCTGTAACTGTGAAAATGATTTGGAGAGAGCTCAAGGGTAGGAAGCTGATCACCGTGCCCTTGCGCACCTTTGTGGACAGTTTGCCGAGCTTCAAGTACCAAAACGAGTTTACCTTGCTTAGCCGGTATCGTTGGATAATCTTATATGGATGTCAGACCCGCTGAAGCGTCCACTCCAACAAGACAGGGGAGAAGACTTCAACTTAGTGACTCCATGGGCAGCTTGATAATGTTCCCATCCTGTAAAAGTTGTCTTAGTCACGCCTACACGCTAATGAACTCGTCCACATGGATGATCTCGGACAACAGTTAGACTCGACGCTACCCAAAATAATGTTCAAGATACAAGACATCATCTCGTGCAATATCGGAACGCGACAACGTCCCGCTGCTTTTCAATTTTTGGTATTCAGGGCGTTTGCACACTTACGCCTGTAGACACCGAAGTGCATCTTAGGTCACCGCAGGAACCTACGCCAGTCGTATTGAAATCAAACGCAACTGCTGCGCTGACTCACTCCAACAACTCACCGTTTGACTCAATAAACTTTGGAAGAGACAATTCTATTTTTATGAACACGATTAGAGCGTGAGTGGGTGAATAACATCAAGGCCAACCAGCCTACAACTTTAGACCTCCAGTACATCAAACCTTATTTTTGTACATGTTCTTCCTGGAGCCGACTCAATTTGCGATCGAGCTTTGCCTCCATGAAACGGTACATCTGCGTCTTTTCTACATCCCTATCCCGGAACATGCTAACAAGATCCCAGCGTCTTTCCCGCAGGGCTACGTCAAGAGCGCACTCCTGGCCACAACGTCTTGTGACATCAGCACCATGATCAAGAAGTAATTCGATAATCTTTCTATACACTTCATGCTCTTGAAATACCCTTGAATTGATCAGACAGCAGAGGGTACGGTAGCCTTAGACCAGCATCTTTGCGTCTGCGCCTTGATCAAGTACCAACTCCACTTCGACTTCAGAACCCCTTTTGACTTCTGATATCTTCTTTTCAAGATCCTTGTTTAAATCAAGACCTCTATATAAGAAAGGCCTTATGATAAGCTTCGCAAGTCTCAAAAAGAAGCTTGGCTGGGTCGCGACTACCTGGCGACGATGAGAAAGAGAGACCTTTGTTTAGAAGCCTTATGGCGTCGGCATCTTTCATCAACAGCAGATATATGACATTTTCGCAGCCAGTGAGCCCAGTGAGCCCAGTGAGCGGTGTGCCGGGAGTAAAAGCGTCCGGGATGCAATCCCCCTGCCTGGATCAGCAATTTCTAGGAAGAGTTCAAAGATTTTATTCAAACCCCTGGAAGCCGCAACATAGAGCGCAGTTTCACCGGAGTACATGGACATGTTAATATTTGCGCTGGCATCTAGGAGCACCTGTACAAGGTCAAGACAACCATTTATGCATGATCTTGAGATAGCGGTACTAATACAGCGCCTAATAGCGTCAGTCAACGTAATGTTTTCAAGCAGTTTTTCGATGACCTCTTTATCAAAGCCTCTCTTAAGGGCCTTCCACAAGGCTCTTGCAACAACTGTAGCACCGACTATTCCCATGAAAACCACCTGCTGCGTTAGGGTCTGCCCCCGCGCCGAGAAGCAATCACTTAGCCTCTTGATTGCCGCTATCAGCCGCTATGTACAGCGGATTACAGGAAAAGGCTCCCAAGGTGGCGTTGATATCTGCCCCAGTGTCAAGTAGCATCTGTATAGCCTCTTGAATACCGCTATCAGCTTCTGCATACAGAGCAATATCGGAAGAAGCTCCCCCCGCGGCGTTGACGTTTGTCTCAGCGTCTAGAAGCATCCGCAAGGCTTCGTGGTGGTTCATTCCAATAGCTGTTTTAGGTGGGTTACCAAAAGCGCCCCCTTCACTGCTAGGATTTGCTTCTGCGCTGAGAAGTAGTTGTGTAAGCTTTTGTCCACTCTCACAATAGCGAGTTGCAAAGCGCTGTCAAGAAGACTGTGAGGGATCGTACTACTTTTCCCAACGACTGCTTTGTGAAATCGGTAAAGATGAAGGGAAAGTAGGTGCTGAGTGTCATCCTCGAGAGCTTTGAGGTTGCTCATAATTACTGAGCTCATAATGGTCTTTCTACAGTCTGACTTTCCATTTATACACAGGGACTATGCAGATTTCATCTTCCAACATTCGAAATGTTCGCTGCGAAGAAACCAATCGCAAGTGCCAGTGTGGAGGTGACTCAGTGCGGTCTGACCATTGACTGATGGGTCTGCCGCGGAAAGCCAGGCGCACTTTCTGTCTAGTAGGTGTTTATCAATGAAGCCTTGAACTGATTGCTTCGTGTCTGACACTGCTAATACATGAGAATCCTATCAACGTTCTGGGGCGTTTGGCCACTAACCTTCTGTCACGATCTTCTCCATCTTGTCAGCTAGCTCCACCTTCCTAGCGTCAATGGTGCCTAAGAGCTCTTTTGCGTACGCAGCAGCGGCAAGCGCTGCATAGTTCTGCCATCGATCGTTTTTGTGGCTGTCGGCGTAGTCACAGATCCCCCTGACTACAAGACAGGGGAAGTTGCTGATAAGCCCGGCGGCCCACATTTCGTAGCAGAGAACATCCGTTCCAATTCGTTTCAGAACTTTTTCTCGAAAACCGCCGTCTTGGATGACTAAATCTCCAGAAGCAATTGTCCCATAATGTACTTCGGGATCGCTCGTCGGCCTTTCTTCTCTCTTGATCTCCCTCTCCGCGTCGCAGCTATCGCAAGATTGTGTGTCGTCAATCCTTCGGCGTTTTATGCCCCCGGAGAGATTCCGATAAGAGATACCACCAGATACATGGACCGACGTTGGTTCGAATAATCGATCGTTTTCTGCTCCTTGGTAGATGAATGCAGGGTCTCTGCCTTTCGGGTTTGCCAACATCGGATAATTCTGAACGGCCTGAGACAGGATCTCCGGCAATTTAGAGCCCTTCAACCGCTGTACGGCTCTCAGCTTATCCACAGCTTTGAGAAGAACAGTCGGAGGAGGGGCAAGAGCGCCGACACGCTGAAACTGGTCATTCTCTCTTATCTTGCCTAGGCCGTATTGTACGACGCCTGGATGACCGTTTTTTGGAAGGCTCACGACCACGTCACCGAGACGAACATCATTTTCCTCCAAGTCGGGGACTCCAGCGCCGATCCCAACTAAGAGGCCGAATCGTAGGTGCGGGAGAGAATTGGCCATGCACGTTGTAGTCGTCGCCGCCGACACCAGGCCATAACTTCCCCCACCGAGTGATGCAATGACGATGTTGTGGTCCCCGACCCGGCCCCATGAGTAGTTGTTGCTGTCTTTGTCGTTCTGCTCGAAATCATCTGGCTGCCCGTGTGTCTCATCGAGCATGGCGAGCGCGGCTGTCAGCTCCTTGTTCAGAGCAGCGATCCAGCCGATTGTGTACATTTTGTACGTGGGAAGTCTGTTTAAGTCCGCCATGATGTCTACACTCACTTGGCAACATGCCCAGCTTCAGGTGTAGACAGCGGTGAGAAATTGATGTAAATGATCTAGGACGTCTAGGAATGGAAGATCGAGTGGACGATTGTAGGCCAGCGCCCCTCAAGTATTTCTACTTTCACTACCCGTCCCCCTCTCTTCGACTTGGCCAAGCCTCAAATTGATTCGTCTGCTGCGCTGATAGGGGTTGTCTATGTTGCTGATGGGCCGCATGAGTATTCAGGGGGTTGATTGGCTCCATGACGGCCCAGGGTGTTTTCGTGCCGCACCTCAACCAACCGTTATCATACAATGCATGTCAATGTGGCAGGGTCTTGGGCTGTGCTTCAGCGAGACGCTGCGATTCCATGCCCACCCTGCCTCTTTTTATGGTCTTACAATCCTGAATCTTACCCTACGTGAGCAACCAACAAATCCAGAAACCAACTTTGATTTTCGAGAAATAATAAGCGTGCAGTTCAACCCGATCGCTACGCATGAAAATAGATTAGATTATCAAACCCGCTGCCTGTTATTCTCCCACCTTTTGTGGAGAGAAACCATTACCGGCCGTTTGACACCTTGCCGGTGGTCGATCGTTGGCACGTGGTCTAAGAATCAGCATGCTGCCCAGCCATGGTCGGTAAGCACGGCTACGCCCCGGCCCAACCAACTTTTTTGCGTTGTTGGTAGGAACAGGAGAGGTGACTGCTGTAGCTCATGCCTTGCTCCTGCACCAACACCGCCCATGGCAGCCACGATGTCAGGAGCAGCAGGACCAGCTGCCTCTCATTCCCCCGGCCACCGCTTCCTGCCTGCCACCGCAGGCCAACAATTGCCGTTGCGCAAGGCCCCATGGTCGAGTGGTTCCCCCAGATTAAACCCGTTTATTTTGAAGGATTTCGTTCGATTTTTTCAGGGAGAATGGCGATGTCTCCATTCTGTCCGCCGACATCTATGTAAGTCTCGCTCAAAAGTCCATAAGGGTGGAGACGCAAATGCAGCGAATATTTTGGCACCGGTTGCACCTTGACAGCCCCAAAGGCGGAAAACTTTACCAAAAAGGAAATACATAAAAAAGCAACTCCCCTGCTCGGGGTGAGTAGAGCCCTCAGTTTCTATACTGCAAGTGTTTTTAGCGCTTAGCAACTACGCTGCTTGCTCAGGTCTGTACACAACCTCTTGTATATTCATCATTGGGTGATGATTTTCGACACATTTTGGATTGATGTAGGCATACTCGCTTCTGCAGGGAAGGCAGGTGATGCTGCCGGCTGTGGTCGAGGGAAGAACGGGCGATCGATCCTGCCCGCGGGAAGCCAAGAGCCGTGCTCTGCCACTGAAGGAAGTTGGGCCCAGTCCTTCCTGGCAAGTCACGGCGGCACCTTCTGGGAATAATGAGGAAGAACAGCATTTACTGAGCAGCGTGTCCCTTCGCTTGGAAACGCATGAGACTCTCGTGATCTCTCTTCTGAAAGCACCTCGCGACGGAGTCGCTCAGCCACCTTTGTACACACCGCCGAGAACAGTGATGAGAACAGCAATCGCGGAGCAGCTTCCCCTGTGTGCCTATCCACGGAGAAACCATAAGACTCCAAACATGCTATTTCTGAGTTCGCAGGTAGTGGTAAATTTCTAGCTGACTCTGAATTCTGTATGCACTGGCGTTGGAATTACACGCCACACTTTCGATGCAGTCCCCCTCATCACACCTGAAATTAGAGTGGTAGGTCTTGAATTCGGCGCTGTATGTATTGATATTTCACCTACGCTCACCACTGAAAGCTCTCCTCGAAGTATTCTATGCGGGGCTCAGAAGCTACCATCCTGGCTGCGACCGCGCGTCTACTTTCATCGGCCATCCTCCCTGGACCACTTGCGACTACTGCCAAACTACCCTTCTCTCCGGTATTTAATATGGCGTGGATGACTTTTTCAACGTTTAACCTGTAAAATTTCCACTCCGCGAGGCGATGTGTGGCCTGATCCCCGATCCTTCTACTGTCCATGGTAGTCATATAGACGTGAATCTTCACCTGCCCATATTCTGAGACGTTCTTCAACTCGTGAGTGAGTATGTCGACTGCCAATCCCAACTGGCGAACTGCCCAGTGAATTTCGATCAGCTTTGGTCGGGAACAAGACGTTGTGAGTTTCTTGAGGTATGAGAGTGGTACCGCAATCCCACTGCCTCCAACCACAAACAGCACCTTGCTGAACCGCTCCAGAGGGAGGGACTTTCCGTACGGGCCGTCAATCGCCACAAGTACTGTGGCTGACTTTGATTTCTCGGTCTCGGCGTAGTCCTTAAGCCGCGAGGTGAAGCTGTCGTATGGTCGAATCAAAAAAGTCATTTCCCGCCCGGACCTAATTGTTCTGGTTCTGGTGCCCTCGGAAGAATCTGCCCTGTGGTCTAAAAGAGGTGACCTCTCCCCCAACGACTCGCCGCATTGAGCTGACTCAGATACTGACGCCACGGTGAACGGATGGCTCTCCCAAAAATTCCACTTATTCAGTACCATGAGATAGTAAAACGTGCCGGGTTCAATGGTATAAAGACTCGAGGGAATTGGGACGACGACTCGAATCATGTGAGCATCCTCGTTGTAGGTGACCAGAGCACATGCGTTCCAGAACGATGGGCTGAAGGCCACGATCCGAGCCCCGCGAATGACACGGTCTACCAGCCATATCATGGCCGGGACCCATACAAGAGGATCATAATCGCCTTTGAAAATCGAAACATGCCTTCAAATATCGTCAATTTGCCGTCTCTCTTCTGATTGCAGCACCGAACTCACCCTAGCATTGTCATGAGTATCAAGGCTGACAGGGCAATGTGAAGTACAAGAAAGAGCTCGTATTGTCGACGCCGAAACCAGAAGACGGATGAACCAACAAGCAAGCACATAAGTATTGTGGCCTATCAGAGAGTCAGCTGCGCGGAAACCAGTATTTGGCGAAATAACTCACCAATTCACCAGTCCACCAATAGGTCAAGTTACACATTCGCCAAAAGTAATCCCAACCGCCTCCTGAGAAAGATCAGCAACGATGCGTTCCATGGCTTCACGTATAATCTTACTGCGGAGAATGAGCAGAGTATAGCCGATAGAGTGGATTACGGCTTCCAATGTGGCTATCCGGGCTACCCAGCGATGGAAATTATTGTATGTTTTGAAGTCCCAGCCTGTGAGCCAGATGACGAGATTGTTCCTCATCCCGAACAGCCAAATTAGGGGAAAGTTTGCGAACGACAAAATACCAGTTCTATCGGAAACATGACGGAGGACTTGCATCGTGATGGAAGGATAGCTTCGAGTCCTTGTCGTCAGTATCAACTCAGATGACAGGATAACGGTGCTCGGGAGAACTCACAAGCCGTAACCTTCGAAAATTCTGTACCCATAGACGGTGCACATTACGTTGAGGAACAAAAACAACATCAGTGTCAATGTCTGCACACGTGGAGGCAAGGTACCCCAACCTCCGAAGTCCTGCACACAGCGCCGGCCAAACGTCGCTGGCGTCAAAACCGTGCGTTGTAGCCATAAGCTGCTGGGATGTCGGCGGGCGTGCGATTGCGCGAACGAGGGGCCCCAGTGCATGAGTGCTCGGTTTGCCATGCCCACCGTGATGACCGCCGCCCAGAACATTCCCATCGCCCAACCGTAGTTGAAATGCTGATCCCAAATGTAATCGTGTGCGTCCTGAATTGTAGCGAGTGAGCTGTCACCTTCTAAATTTCTAGGATGAGTGTTTGCAGTGAGGAAGTAACTAACCAGCGTCCATGCCCAAAGTCCGTAATAGGATTGTGATGGCAGCATTAACATGTCAACGCGTTGGGCACGGTCTGGACTCGTCTCGTTGAACCTCGTGATTTCAGCGATGTCTTCATCTGTAATGTCATTGATGATGTCGCGTGGGGGAAAATGTGAACCGTTCATGTCTTGACATGAACGGTTTAGGCTCTTAGACTCTGCGAGCCAAACATCTTTCGAACAATACAAATCCCAGCATAGATACAGTGATCGCTGGTACAAATGGCTAGTGCACTCCTGCACGGCAAAAAATGCCCCAGTCGGGGCATCTGAAAATCGCAGCGTCCGGAAGGTCTTTCGACAGGCTGTCCCGCACAACCTGCCGTACGCTTCGGAGGCAGCTGCTTGGGTAAAGATAAAGAAGATTATGACGGAGTAGCATACTGCACTATTCAACTGCCGGTATAGCATTTCTTGCTCAATGACACAGAATGCTTTACAAGTCGTGGTGTAAGTGGTCGGGATCCAGAAATTTGGCGGGTGAAGTATTTAGACTCGGGGCGGATGAGCGGGTATTTATCAGATGATCAGATAACGAAGGATTGTGGGCCCAACACATCACGTGTGCATCGCTCAGCTAACGACACCCCTTATAGCTACTCGTAGGACTCGATGGGTAAGTAGTATCGCGCAATTTATTTTGCTGACATTCTTTGAGGCGCGGCGCATGTTTACGGTGTTACTTTTCATCTCAAGTGAGGCTGGAAACCCTATAATAGCCCGTATGATGCTAGAACACGAAACGATGGCAAGAAATACTCGCTGTAAACAGGCTTTCGGTGACCACAGGCGGCAAATACCGGGCGAATGCCGCTAGAAACCTGCTGAGCAGTGCTAGACCACTGAAGCTGGCGTAACTGGAACGCTCATGCATCATGCTCCTAGCACTGCAGTTTCATCAGACGGCGCAAGAACCACCAACATAAGAACATCATCTGCTGACTGGTTTGAATGAAGAACTGGCCTGATGTGAGGATATTCGCATGGCGGCGATAGGCATTATCGAATAGATCTCAGTCTTCTTAACAAGTCCACCCCCCCTACAATAAGCTAGATCGTGTAATTGCGCCAGCCTTCCTGTCCGTCGAACGATTTGCCCATCATCCACCATATCCTGATATGCGTGGAAAAGCCCCTTTCAAGCACAAATTACTTACGATACAAAGCAAGCACCTTCTGCCAGAATGTTGCGCGCTCTGGCTGAGTACTAACTGTTTCGCTTGCTGTGCGCTGGTTCGGGACGTCTACAACCTCGCCATCGAGGCCCTTATTGTTGACGGCATTCTGCTGCTTGCCGAGATAGTAGTTGGGCATAAAGAAAGACGCAATGAGAGGGATACAAGACAGGCAGATGGAGGCGATGGTGATGTGCCCATTCACAATTGCGTAGGCGCGCACGCCGCCCTGGCGAATGGGGTCGCTGAAGCTGTATTTTTTGAGCGTCTTGATGTTGCCGTATATCTTGGTAATCACGCTGCTCGAAACACCCGGCATCTCCTTGTGCATCTGGTCAACCATCTGCTCCGTCCAGATGCTCGTCGCAACGGCGCTACCAATGCTGGATCCCAAGGTAGACCACAGGGTTATGATGGAAATAAGTGAGGCCACATCGTCGTGGGGGACGGAGGCCTGGACACCGACGCGGGCACCGACCACATTGAGGGAGGAAAGACAAAAGATGAGTTGTGCAGCCACGAGGCGAGCTGTATCTTGAGTCATTCTCCCGCTCGGTTGGATCAGGAGACCATAGCCAAGGATTTTGGCAGCAGCTCCGAAAATCATGAGACTTTTGTAGCGATGAGAGATACGGTGGACCAGACCGACGACAGGTCCAACCAGACACAGGCCCATGGTAGTTATACCAAGGAAGATAGTCCACTGATACGTAGTCCAATCTTTGATAATGAGGATGTATGACGAGAAGTAGGTGTTCCGAACGGATGAAGCCATCTGGTTGAAGGTATGAATAATCACACCCGCAATAAAGGCGCGATTCTTTAGGATACGCTTTGTCATCAAGGGCTTAGGAGCCACGAATACTTCGAAGAAGACGAATCCGGCGAGGATAACAAAACCTATGACGATCATGGCGATCATACTAGGGTTCTTCCATCCGTCATCGGCGCTCTTAGCCAGGGTAATAGGCAAGAGAATGAGGGAGAAGGCAAAGCCGAGGAGAATAAGGCCGATGATATCGATATCAACCAGGCCTCGATACGCAAGCTTGGCCCAGTACACCAAGTTCTTGGGCGTCGCTTCGGAAGCGCCGGTGCGAACATTCTTGGAGTCGGCCATAGTGACCATACCTGCCTTCTCCCCGCGGCGTTGCATGGCGTAGAGGGTCATGATAGCGGGGACCAGAAGAACTGGTACGAGAATCGCAAACATCCCCAGACCCCATCTCCAGTCATCGTAAAATCCCTCGGCGATAAACCCATTAACGGGAACCGTCACAATAAAGGGTAGAGATAGGCAAGCGCTGAAGAAGCCGCGCCACTCTAGAGGGGTCAAATCGGCGACAATAATGTCACTAAGAAGATCCAGGCCTGATTTACCGACGGATGTGAAGCAAATACCGATAGTATAGGATGTGAAGGTATGAGCGCTTGCCGCAACAGCAAAACCCACGGCGTAGAAAGCAAGGATCACGACATACGTTGTAGGTCGCGACGTGATATCTGCTAACTTTCCGATAAAAGGTTTGCTGATGGCACGAATAATCTGGCTAGCGGTGTTGACGGTGCCGAGTTGGCTGTGGACTTTGAATGTTGACGCGGCTAACGTGCCGAAGATCGTGGTAGTGATGCCCATGTCCAGGGCGTAGGCGAACATGGTGAGGCCGACGGAAGCACCAAGCAGCCAGAGCAAAATTTTGCCCTTTTTGCCGGAATGGTAGAGAACCTTGTTGAATGCCTCGACCCTGCCAACGCCAATGGCCTTGGGGCTCTCGTCGTCGGACGCGACGTAGTTGGGCTTCTCAGTCGGCTCAAACATGTCGTCGGTTGCGGCGTTTTGCACGGGAGCGTGCTGGGACTCGGGGCCCTTAGGCCGTTTGTCGTCGACAGCGGGCGTCGACATGTCTGGCAACGTGTCGAGCAACTGGATGTTCCGAGATAAGGTCGAGACTACGCAGAGGTAGAAAGGACGATAAATACCGGAGCAGCAAGAGTACGGTGGAAAGAAGAAACAGATGGGAACGCAAAGACAGAGAAGACGGAAAACTCTGCAGCCACAGCGATACTTGATCTAGTGTCGCCTTGCCTGACTTTTTGGCAGTGAAATCTGGAATGGCGCAGTAGGCCGCTGATCGAGTCGCCCCCCACTGCGAACCGAAGCGAAGGATTCCCTTAGACAGCGAACAGTGGTCCGTCGTCGGGGTTAAGAATGTGTAATCGTTTGACGACTCGACTGAGTGGGTACATCTCACGGGCGACATGCCTAATGGAAAGATTCTCCCGGCAGGCTCCTTCGCCAGTTGAGGCAGAACCAGCAGCACACCTAGACCCATGGGAAGAAAGACAAGCTCGGTTTTCTTTTTTCCGAATTCTTTTAACATCCTTGCATATATTATCCACTGAAAACGCACCATGCCATCTAATCAGGTGGCTAGATTTTAGAGTGAGGGGATCATCCCACTGGCGGATGGGCAACTGCGGAGACTACCCATTTCCTTGGCAAAGTACCCAGTGTGATGGGACTGTGCATCTTGGTATTTACCATTGCTATTTCATTCGGGCGACTCGAAGTCTCTGAGTCTAGGCCGAAATCTTAGGAAAAGAGAATTCTCTCGGAGTGCCCTGAAGGCAGTCGCTTCTCCGAGAGATGTTTTTCGACACATTAAGGCGGGCATCAATCGGAGCGGGCCAGGCGGCTAGCACCTTGGTACTGACTTCACGTTTTCATCCCCCTAGTTCCATGGTGGCCTTGGCATGACAAGGTTGCTCAAGGGCTGGTGCCCGGAAAACGGGATGGGCGTGGTGGCCAAAACCAGTAGCTCGTACCAAGCCGACGGTTTGCGTGTCTAGTCCACCAAGCGGCTCAGGCGGATACGGATGAGCGGAGTAATCTTGATCATGATTGTTATGTCTACGGATTACCCTGTGTCTTTGAGAATATAGACGTCCTCGATCAGAATTCGGCCCTCTGTGGACTTCGCGAGTCTAAGAAGAGCAATATCCATGGGCGATCGTTAGCTTGTGCTCGGTGGACTCCGGTCAATTTCCCCCAAGACTTACAAGTACTCTTGCCCGCGGCAATCCGGCCGACAATGCCGATTTGCTCACCAGAACGGATTCGAAGATTTAATGTCTTGAGCGCCGGACTCAAGCCGGGTCGATAGCTGAGCCTAAACGATTGAAACAGGATACGCCCTTTGCTTGGCTATCTTTGGCTTTTGAGAC